GGTTTAGAGTTTAATTGACTTACTGTACAGTTTGGGTACACATATCTGGGCTAAGATTATTATTAACTTTGAGATTGATAATTTGTCTTTGTGAACAGTAGTATATAATATATATATGCCTTAGTGTTGTATAAACTGTCTGCCTGTGAAACTACAGTAGGTGAGTTCCTTTCACGGTCTCTTATTAACACTCGGGAAAAGATTGTATGCTGTATTATTATCCCCTTCTGTTCATTCAGTTTTATCTGCTGTAGTTCAAGGAATTCACTGTGTTCCCTTATACCTGTTGTGTGTTCTAGACCCATGAAAGTGTTCCTAAATTTGTGTTTATGCTGTATTTTTATACAGCCACCATCCAAGTATTTAACCCAGATTATAACCAGTACAGTAATAACAAACAAGATATAAAAATTAAAGAAGGCATAGCCGATGAAGGTACAGTGAGAACTTCTGTATTACTAATGAATATGTACAGTAGGTTTGAAGTAATCCATCCATCTTTGATGTCCATTTTAGTGGATGTAAATGTTATTGATTAGCCCCAGCCAATTAACCCTCAGCTGGATAAAATACCGAGTTCGTGAAACGTGAGGAAGAATACAATTGGAAAAAATGCGTATGTTGGCATGATCGAATCTATTTGTTATGTTATAGTACTGCGCTTCAACAACGGTCTTCAGTGCGTAGCAAGGTTACTTTGCACTATTCTAACAATTTTAAAAAGTTAAGAGATGGAACTTTTGGTGGTGTTGTTTATACTGTACCTTTGTATACATACTGCACTACCTGAATCAGTGTAAATTTGTATGGCGATTTTAATGAATATATATCTATTTTGGAAATTATTTAATATTTTGTTACAATGTTTTATGGTAACTATGTGGTATATATATTTTTATGTCCAATATATATCATATATGTGCTTTAACAACAGTTGTTTAATGGACATCGCCATTTAATACATTAGACAGCATCTATTAGTAAACAAGTTATATATACTACTGTATACTTGTCAAAATTGTCACAATATGGCGATTGAAAATATTTGAATACGATCGATAAGCCAGCTTGGGAAAAGACTTCTCTAATTGGCACTGTACTTTGTCGTTGTTGGTGAGAACGGGACTTCCCCTCCCTGCGTGGCACTGGGGACCATGGTACCGCCTCTAACTAGTTCAGAGCGGATTGGAGCCTTGCACCAGCTGCCAGCATCATTGTACGATTTTAGTATTTTGACTGAAATAAACATTGCATTGTTTGGGTCATCCTGTATACTTGGGGATATTGGATGTGAGGGTTAAATGGCAGGAATTTAGTTAATTGCGATTTAATGTATAATTAAAGCAAGCCGTCTATGCCACGCCAAGTTCCACTTGCGGTATTGTCCACTAGGTGGTTGCCTCACATGGTTAGTAAAATGTACTTCATACAGTTGAGTTAGTCATTAAGACTAACATGGATATAATTAATAAAATTGTTCAAAACATTGTGAATATAGGCCAATGCGAAGGCACTATTTTCATTTGGCAAGACCAGCAGCTTGTGACGTTTAGTATAAAAAAAAATCGCGCCACTGTCGATGATTGGCTGATAGGGTGGGCCGGTTCTTCAGCGCGCCTTATGATTGGTCAAGCCTCGTGCGTTTGAAGGTGCGCGTGGAGCAGCTATGACCATGGATGAAGATGGTAATCAGGGTTGCCAGATGGCCGTTTCCACGGCCAAATTTCTCTAATTAGGCCGTAAAAACTTCGCCTGGCCGTGGAAAATGGATGGTCACGGCCAAACTCTTTGGTCGTATTTTGGCCGAATTTTGTAAAACACGTATTAATTCCTCAGTGGATTGTGAAGAAAAGTCTAGCAGTTTCAAATTTCACAATGAAAATGCTGGCTCTGACCACCTAGTCAGTGACCTCACCTCTTCACATGTTTATGTGACCTACTGAGCTGACTGATCTTTCTAGTTAGTTCTCATATTTGAGTTGTTCAGGCTGAACGTGTCCAGCATATGGATTAAGCTTCAGAGCTTACAAAGCCATCTGAGTTACTTTCTGAAATTCTGAGTGCTAGTTTTCAAAATGTCCACTAGTAAATGAAAAGGGTCCTACGACAGTGGTAGAAAATATAACACACCGGGGGACGATGATGAACTAGGCGTTTTGCTTACGCCAACTAGTGTTATCAAAGTTCACCATTATCATGCTCCACCACCATTTCAGATTAAGGTAAATCTTCACTGTAGATTATAGATGTTATGTTTATGTAATTATTGGGCTCTCAATTCTAAGTGAAAATTTTGTTTTATTACGACATTTTAGGTGGATATTGTAGGGGATACTTTTATTCTGTGTGGATTGCAAAAATAGCCTTGTGCTTCCCATCCAAAAAGTTTTGGCCGTGAGATGGCGTGAAGTTGGCTGTGAAGCTTGTACATCTGGCAACTCTGATGGTAATCGTATAGTAACTTAGTTGATGGCCTTTGATAGGTAGTAGCTTAGTTTTTTTTTATGGGAGAAATACAGTATATGCTGAAGTAGGTGTCTGAGACTATGGATTTGGGAATATACTTCACTACCATACAACTAAACGCGCCCTGCGTTTAGTTGTATGGTAGTGAAGTATCCAGAGGCGCGTTTTTTTTCTCGGTTGAAACAGCCTGAAACAATTGCCCATTTTATAACCATTAAACAGCCCAGAGTTAAACATTAATTCAAACAACGGGTATTATAACTCACTAAATTTTCCTTCAACAAGGTTTAATGTAAGTGAAAATCTTTTTCTTAAACATCCAATCGGCCATGAGGCTTCACTTAATTTAACCTAGTGGATTTCTTTATCAGTAATTCACTTGCAAGAGTTCTATCTAAAACAAATAATGCTCTTGGTATTTAAATATTAATTTGAGCATAAGTATGTGTTCGCTTTAGGATGAAAACAATTGTATAACACCCTGGTGTTACCGGCTGTTTAGTACAGTAACAGCTTGAGTGGCAGTCTTTTGCTTAACGGTATAGTGGATTATTTTGTTGGTATTTTATTCAGTCTCCATAAGTATCTTCCTGAGATCTTGTGGGTGTTTGTAATTAAAGATTTATCGAGTCAATTTTGAACCTACTTTATGTTAATTAAACATTCCGCTATGGATAAGAGGGGGGAATATGTCTGCTAATTGTGTGAATCTGAGTAGCTCGGTTCCTGCAGCTAATGGTACTGTATTCTCTTTCATTACACAGAGGGGTTGAATTTCAAGAATAAAGGTATTAGAAAAAAAAGGATTATTGTGTGCTTTTGGGTGGCGGAATATGTATTGTTAGGCTTGATTTTAGCCTGGCATTTAGTGTTGAGGTTATTTGTCGTCTTCCAAGGTTTTTACATTTTCTTAACATGTGTTGAAGGTTGTCTTAACTTATACATTAGGTGGAGGGCATGTTGCCTTCTAGATGGCCACGTAACCCTGATGATACGATTGTCAAGTACTGTACTGTGACTTGAAATAAAGTATAGCCCTATTTGAAGTTGCGTGGCTTTGTAGAAATTCGATATCGTGGTTTTATACATAAATATCAGATATGTTGTGACGTGGTGATGTATACGCTTAAGGTGTTTGAGTACACGTTAGAGCTGACCCCAGTGTTCTTATGCATCTCGCTGATGCACAACCGACGCAGGGCCACATTGTGTGTAAACTGCGCAGTGTGTCACTGGACTACTATTCTACCTACGCCGAACCAACTACAATGGGGGGCAAGTTGACCTTGGTGAAACCGGCAAGGAGTGTACTCTGTGAACCTATGTTGTCTCTGTTGCTAAAATGTGCCAGGGAATTAGTGTGGATAGTAGAAACGTCAATCTTTGGGGATTAGGTTTGCCCGAAGATCCACAGTGGTAACGTGAAGCTAAATCTTAATAACTCCCAAAGGGGGGTGGGGGGTCACTGGAGCACCATAGTATTCGTCTGTACTTAGGACACACATAAAATAATAAACAGCTGATTTATGTACCGTACAGCCCTGTATAAAACTGCACAGAAAAGAGGAAACACTAGAGAACCTTAGCTTTCGACTTTATTCAAGACGTCTTCAAAGAGAGAGAGTATTATATATAAAAACAGGTTAGATAATATAGCACAACAAAGGATTTTAGCAGTCAATCAGATCCGTCCGTAAGATACGCACACAGGAATGAGTTAATAGGTTAGGCACGTTTATTCTTACTTTCTATATTTATGTATACATCCTCAACACGCGCGCACACACACACAAGAACATAAGAATGGAGGAAACTGCAGTGGGCCTATTGGCCCTTACTGGGCAGTCCCGTTTACACCCAACCCCTATTGCTCATATGAGCATCCAACCTATGTTTGAAGCTATTCAGCGTATTCGAGTTAATGATGATATTTGGTAACTTGTTCCATTCATCCACTACTCTGTTTCCAAACCAGTGTTTACCTATTTCACGCCTAAATCTAAATTTGTCTAATTTAAAACCATTGTTACGAGTTCGCTCCTGGTTGGATAGTTTGAGTACCTTTGTAATGTCCCCTTTGTTTAGCCCTGACTTCCACTTATACACCTCTATCAGGTCGCCCTCGCTCTACGTCTCTCAAGGGAGTGCAAATTAAGATGCTTTAACCTGTCTCTATACTCAAGGTTCCTAATGCCCGGGATTAGTCTTGTCATTCTCCTCTGAATTCTTTCCAAGGATTCTATATCCATTCTGTAATACGGTGACCAGAACTGAACTGCGTAATCCAGGTGTGGTCTCACAAGAGCAAGATACAGTTTTAGGGTGACCTCGCTAGTCTTGTAACTAACACTCCTTTGTATGAACCCAAGTACTTTATTAGCCTTGTTACGAGCAAAAACACATTGTTTACACACACACACACACACATATATATATATATATATATATATATATATATATATATATATATATATATATATATATATATATATATTATTTTACTTATTTATTTATTTATTTTATTTTTTTAACAGTCGCCGTTGGTGAAATCGTTTGTGGCAGGATCCTTCTCTGGAACATGTTCCACCATCCTCTTCCAGCCACTTGACCTGGTGAAGACTCGCCTCCAGACCACCATCACTATACCGTAAGTCTCATACTCTACACCTTGTTGTTATGCCTCTATATTAGATTGTTTTATGTGTTTATGATAAATGTCGAAGAAAGTGTTTCTGATGTCGGGATAAAGTGATTGTCGAAATGGGTCGTAGAACTTATTGTAATACCCATTATTATATGGTAGTTATCGTGTTCATCATTATTTCCACATCTACTGTATTTTACTCTGGTGATGGTTATAGTTCTTTGAGGCGAAATGTAAGGGCAACGCTTTTCGAAGAATAGTGGTGGAAGTAAGGAGCTGTGTCTCAGCTTCTGTTGCTGAATACAGTATTTCAGAAGTTTTCAGGGGTGAAGGAGGCCATTGATCTCTGAAGTGTACATATGAAGGTATTAATAACATGGATATACTCTATATAGTTTATCCATGTTTTCCATCTTGTAGTGGCGATATCAAATGATTTGTTAATGCCTCTAGGTATTGTTGCAGTGGTCGATTTACCGCAAACAATGTACGTACGTTTGACGATGTAAGGGTTAGGTGAGGTTGGTTACGTAAGGCAGGTGGTGTGAATGTGTGGCATGACGCAGTGCCGAGGGGGAGCCAGTGTAGAACTCATTGATCCACACGTGACAGCCACCACCACCCTTTACCCATCACCTGGTTATACTGTCGCCATTTCTGTATCATGGTCCAGCTAATTTTCGCCAAATTTTGTACCCGTAGGTTGATCTAGAGATATTCTAGTGGAGGACAAAATTAAATGGAAAACTGACTTTGATCACAGAAAAGGAGAGCCTGTGTGTTTTCGCACCTTTTATTATGCACTACATAAACTTAGTTACATATCATTAACTACTTGTGCCATTTAGATACTGGGTTATGTTTGTTTGGCAGATTTGTCTGTACTAGGTAGTCAGCTTACGAACGGAGGTACTTCCGCCTGGGAAGATATTGGAAGCATAATTTATTGTCTAATAGTAGACCCTGCTTTTTTAGTTTAACAAATTTATTGACATATCCTGGAGTACAGTTGCCATATGTGACCACAAAAAACTTGACCTAATCCCAGGTTGCTTATCTGACTTACTGCCTCATTTACACACAATTGCAGCAGGGTTTCAATTGCTTCTCTTATTTTGACAACGCAACATACATACTGTATATCTTTTCTCACTCGATCTTTTTGTTATTGTTTTTATTCATTATTATTATTAAATTTTTTTGTATTTTTAGAATTTGTATTTATTATTACTGTTATTATTTTTATTATTACATTTTCGCCCCTAGATCCCAATGTTGGTCAATGACCTGTGCCCGGTTGGGCTAATGCCCATAAAAAAGTTACGATGGTGTGGCGGATAGTACCAGCATTAGGTTCTAAATGATCGTTATGAGACTACATAGAGTTCCTTGGGTGCTACAGGGTGAAATGCACAGTTTATGTAGGCTGCAGTTTAGGGGTTGGTGGGGGAAGAAGGGACATGGTGGTAGTTCCCAGGATTTTACTGGTTGCTGTTGTCAAGCTGATAATCTATATCCCTCATTGTTTACGGTTTGATTACAAAAATGATTAATACCCAATTATTCGAGAGATTGAATGGGTAGTTTAAATTGATGTACAGTGTATAAACTAATTAAAAGAATAAATGCGAGATTAACAAATTGATTCCTTTTGAATCTAACTTACTATGATGAACGAAGACATTTCCGTATCACCTGTTTGATATCCTGAGAATTTTAATTAAACTGGTTGTCTCAAAACATGTAATTTATGCCAAACTCATTGTTTTTTGTAGATTACAAATCGTAATGCAGTAAGGCAGTTCAAACTTCTCGTGTGGAACGTTACTTCAGGAAGTCATTTCTTATGGCTTACTATTATAATTTATACTTTTGACAGTCCTATTAAAAAACTACAGATTTTCTTCAAAAGTCGCCCTCTGTACATTAAATAACGTACAGGTGCTTCTCTGCGGGACGTAGTCGAACTGGAGCGAGGGCAGTGAGGTTAGTAAAATGACGGCCATGTTTTATGCATGTGATAAAAATAAGTGTACAGTACTTGTGTCGCCAGGTGCATAATGTGGGGTACGGAAGCAACTAGTGTTATTTTTAACCGGCTTACGAAGTTGGAAACTGCGACATATTGATTTCTTAATATTTACCTTAGAATTCTGATCCACGGACAAGGAAATTTTAAAGCAACATAAATATATTTCTATGCGACTGGATATGATTGCACTTCTTTGTTTAAATTATAAGGAATCAACATCTAACATTTCTTGGGGCCTTGTGGGAGGGTTGTCTGGTCGGCCCCAGACACACTGGCGCTACCCCTCGTTGCAAATCGACCATTATTGTACCTTTGACATTGTGCTCAGGTGATGATACAATGCACCTACAGGGTAATGTTAAGCGCTAAAATTTGAAACAACGAGGAATCTTTTTGGATTAGAATATTTAAGATAAAGAAAAGTACGTTTTTAAGTTGCCACACGAACACCGGCTGCGTTGAGTCATTTCATATGTACAGTATATGATTGTTGTATTAATACAGTTGCTCTCCTATTGTGAGCCATTTGTATCGATATATGTGATATTGTGGCCCTTGTTAACTAATGTTGAGTAGATAATTTAGGTAGTCTGACATTGACTACAATTTCATTAGTCGGAGAAGAGCTTTTTTTTAGTTTAAACAAATTTATTGACAAAGCTTGGAGTACAGTTTGCCTATTCTGAGTAATTCAGGCAGGTCTTGACACTGAGGGTGGTATCACTTCTCACTGCCACGCAGGACAGAGGTTCATATACCAAGACATACATCATATTCATTAACAGTATATATAGGTCAGATTCAAGTGGGTGATTTCACTGCTTATTGCCATGCAGGACCTGTACAGTATATACTGCTCATGAATATGATGTAATAAGCTTATAGAAAGGACGTGTGACATGGGGCAGCCTTAGGTACAGTAAGTTGCTTGAGGGTCGGGGGAGGGACTGGTCAGTAGTCGGGTGAGGCTGATCTCAAGGAATTAGGAAAGACTGGTAAAAGTAGTTCATAATTATTAGGGAAATTACCTTATGGCGATTTTTTAGGCTCCTGTAAAATAACTGAACATTTTCAGTTTCATGTGTATAGCTTAAATTAGGTCACGTTAGGTTCGTTGTGAAAATGAAATTATCACAAATCTTGGCAGAAGAATGTAACCTAACCTACACTCAACATGAAATGGATAATTTCCACATGCATTTTACAGATGATGTTATGTGTACTGTATTTGGAGAGTAGAGTATCTATAAATCACACGAATTTTCTGATAAATATTGAATTAATCTCCTACTTAATAAACCAAATAGTTTTAACGAATTTTACTAGAACAGAATCAATATATTTGCGTATGCATGCACTTTTGATGTTGACTGATACATTTTGCAGGTGACATTCGTTAATGCTCAGTCATATCATAGTTACTGACTTAAATGTACAGTAAACCATCGTATCATTAGTTTAAATAAAGTTAACCCCCGTTAACTCTAAGTACAGAGCTCCATCAATGGAGCGCTCTGGCAAGGACGTCAGTGAGTTTTAGGGTTCTGTCGACCTAAATAGGTAATTTTAATATACAAGAATTTATTAGTGAATTAACATGGCATACGAGACTTGCGTATTCGGTAGCTATGTAAACAAATACGCATTACCCTCCATGTGGAAGTATTCCCACATATTTCAGAACTCAAAGCATTCCTTTTATCAATTAATTCTAGGGGGAGGGGGCTATCTACTTTCTCCTCCAATTCTTTGTAGGAATCTATCGGTATCCCCTTTATTTCTTTGTTATCTTTAGTTATTTCTCTCATATTGTGTGTGAGGATAAATTTAAACAGTGTAGTAGAGATGTGCATATTGGGGAGGTGGGTGGGTGGGTGGTCTTGTCTGGTGGAGACTACGGGAAGGGGTGCCGTCACTGCCGAGTGTGTGTGGCTTGCGGGCTGGCTGGCTGACCTCGCACAGGGTCCCAGTCCTACCCTCGCTCCATCCTCGCGCCACCACACATCATGTTATCCACACAATGCATTTATGCTGCTTATTAATAGTTTTGTTTTACGAAATTAGTTGTTACTTTTGTATTTAATAAATGCGACTTAATATTCAGAGTGATTTGTAGGCCGGTAGTTTAGACGGTTCAGACGGGTGGGTTTACTCTCCTGGAGATAGTTGTTTGGGAGGGCCTGTCGACCAGTCGTTGCTACCCCACTCAACCCGTATTTGCTGTGATGGAATGTCTAGTTGACCTGGAGTAGTATGGAGTTTGTGTGGGTATCAGTACAACTCCTTGTAACCAGGGACCTACCGCTTTTTTCCTCATTAGAAATTTGAGCTATATTTTCCATCCAAGACTTCGGAGGCCCGTTTATGTAATTCTATGGTTAGAAAGATATTGACTTCATTTTGAGTCTTTTAATTTTTAACTTGGTTTTAATCGCGGTAAATGTTGCGTACTAATTTCCAAGGTGTTTGATACTGTCATAATTGTAAATGAGAAGTATCCAAGTTAGGCGATGTTTCTTTTTTATTTCTTTTTTTTTTATTTTAATAGAAATTGTAAGTCGAATTTTCAAAGGAGGCCGGCCGCACCTTCTCCGGGTAGTCTATACGAAATGGCATTATAATGTTCACTGCATATTGTTGAAAAAAGAGTATTAAATTTGTCCTGTATGACACTTTTTTGTGTGTGGAGGGGGTAAGCCAACGAGAATCGACTTGCAAAGATTTACGAATGTCAATAAAGAAATTCAATTGTTGAATGTACTTAAAATACACTTTAACTAAACCCATTAGGCAAAGTGTTAACATGTGTTAAGTAAATAAACATGCTAGTTTTAGTCAAGGCGGGGTCACCTGTATCGTCCACTGGCCTGGGCGACTAGACCTGTAGCGGGTACACGAGATAGGTTCATAACTGGTCATCGTTGTTTCATTATTTAAGACTTATCACATTTGATGCTAAGTGGCTGAGTGGGACTTGGTTATATTTACTGGTTGGTGATTTTCAGATTCAATAACATGTTTGCAGTTTGAGTCGTAATTTATGTACTGTATTATGCTAAACTGTTATGGTGAATTTTTCTTGTAAAAGAAAACTTGTTTATTACCTGCAAATTTGAACGTATCTGCTGTCCAAAGATTCAATAATGAAACTAATGTACCTACAGTTAGCCATCACTATGTATACGTGAATCGGTCATGGAAACTAGCTTTTTAAAACCTGATAAAAAAAACAGCATAAGTCTACGTTAGTCGAATAAGACCCCCTGGTTTCGAACACACTAACTGATGTTCAGTTTTAGTAACTAAAGGTTTTCATTATCAGTACCTGTATATCATCCAGCACTGCATGCGACCGAATTTGTAGGTAATAAAAAGTGGTGTTAATATTACTTTTATCCTCTTAACCACTGATCGGCTCGTTAGCCGCTTGGGCGATCGGTCACATCTGTCACGCACTGTTAGCAAGTACTTGTCATTTCCTGGCTCTGTTACGCACTGTTGGTAGGTACTGGGTATGCACCGGCTCCTGAATGTACCTGAACCCGCTCCATTGTTGGTCAAGTCTGGTCTTGAAAGAGCTCACACTCGGTGCTATCACAACACTTTGTGGCAGACTGCTCCAAGAGTTCACAACTCTCACTCCGAAAAAGTTTGCCCTCACACTTTTCTGGACTTGCGGCTTCTTCAATCTTGAGCTGTGGCCCATTATGGGGCGAGCGTCATCCAGCTCCAAGTAAGGATACTCAACTGAGTAGTGCCCCTTGAGATGCTTATGCACCGCAATTAGGTCGTCCCTTGCCCGTCTGTAGTATAAGCTAGGCAAATTCAGACGTTCCAATCTCTCAGGGTAGTTGAGGGGCCGAAGTGCAGGCACCAGTCTGGTGGCCCTCCTTTGAACATTTCCAACCAACTGACAGTCCCTAGCATATCTTGGGGACCAGACGGGGTGGCAGTACTCCAGATAGGGAAGCACTTCACTCTTGAAGATTGTTACGAGGGACGGACCGTCTAGATATCTGAACGACCTTCTTATAAGATCCAATAATTTATTTGCCTGATTTACCTTCTTCTCGCAATGGCCCGAAAACTTCAGGTCATTATCAACATACACACCTAGGGCCTTCTCACATTGTCTCAAATAGTGCAGTTTCTTCACCTGGTTGGGACATATGATACGCCTCCTTACCGTTGGTACGCCCCAGGTGCATCCTCTTACACTTCGTGACATTGAATCTCGGCAGCCACTTCTTTGACTATTCTTGGAATTCAAAAAGATCCTTCTGCAACTCTTCACAGTACGCTTGGTTCTCGATTTCTCGAAATAACTTGGCGTCATCGGCAAACATTTGTATGGAGGAGTGTACGTCAGGCATTTCATTTATGAAACACACAAACAATAGCGGGCCCAACACACTGCCCTGTGGTACCCCGCTTGTGACAGGTACAGATGATGATTTCGTGCCGTTAATCACCACACACTGCTTGCAGTCATGTAGAAAGTCTTCTATCCACGCTAGGACATTTCCCAGAATTACGTACCCTTCTAGTTTGATTTTCAGCCTTTCGCGGGGTACACTGTCGAAAGCCTTGGCAAAATCTAGGTATATATTGTTGATATTACCACCCCGTTCCAGAATATGGGTCCAAATATCCAATACCTTGAGCAATTGTGTTAAGCAGGAGTGCTAGAATGTGGTCTACTGTGATATTTACGCTAGTGCTCTTTAACCTGACTTAGCCCTACCTAGGTTACGTTAATGGACGCTATAGTGTAAATATACCGGTAGATCGACTCCAGCTTGGTAGACCGCATACTGCAGTGTAAATATTCCAGTACATCATATGCTATATCGGCACTAAATATCCCAGTAGACAGCATACTATAGCAACATCAAGAAAGTTTGTCAATAAAGTTTTGTGAGAATACAGAACTGTATCTTGGACTTAAGTTGGGACTTTCCTTTTGTTAAGCTGTTGGACTTGACAAGAAAATATATATACTGTATATAAATATATTTTTTTTTAAGCATGAGGGATAATTTGCTACATACTGCCTTGAGGTTGAAGAAAAAATTAAAACATGGTATACGGACTGGAGTATAATAATGAAATGTAAGTGAATTTATTCTTCCTTATACAATACAGTATATGTATAATATTTAGAATAGAGTATTACATTTAAGTATACATCCGATACTGTTGAGAAGAAAGGGTAATTATGAAGTGGGCAGACGTCAGACCTTTGTCACTCATTGGCAACCCTGCAGTCGTCCAGGGCCTACAGTGCACCTGACCCAAAATGCGACCTAACTCACACATGACGTAATGTGTGGGCAGATCAAGAGACCCCTTGGTCGGCTGCAATCGCTACTGTGAAAATTGGTGTCTTATGTTACATATTGCACGCTAATTGTGCTTTGTTTGGGTGCATTTTTTTTTTTTCCAAATATGAGGGGACTATACACTTCCTTATACCCCCTTAAGATGCACTAAGATAACATGGATTAACCTCTGCAAGAGAAAAGATAACATCAACACTGCTAATGTTCTTACATGCAGTTGTCATTTTGAACCAACTGCCTAGAAGAGAAACCTCAAATATGAATTACTTGGGCTACTTTACCAAAATTATATCAAACTATAAACTACAAATACTGTATAACCTTGTATACTGTAGGTTAAATAAGGATGTGCTAGAAAATTTTTGGTTGTTTCCAGCAAATGTAAGGCTTATATTTGGGGAAGTGAAAGATGTCTGATATTAGTGCCAGCCACACACTACTGACCTGTGTACCAGAATGGCTTTGTGTACAGTACAGTATGCTGTATCAACTACCCGCCATCAGGCCTGTGTGATTCTCTTTCATGGGTATCCATGTATGCAGCATGTTCTATTTTTGGTTAAGACCGGTAAAGGACAACCACGGAACTCTTTATTTTAATTTGTACTGTATACAGGGAGGTAGAGCAGAAATAAATAATACAGTACTTTACTCTACCATTTCCGATAGTAATGTATATATTTCTATTTTTTTTTTTTTTTTTGCTTCTCAATTTCAGGTTTGGTTCTTGGTGTTCCTTTGTATTAATTTCCTTATCTTGTTGAGTTAGGTTAACATACATCTGGGGTGGTCTGGTGGTTAGGTTGGGTCCTGTTTTTTTTTCTGGTTAGGTTAGACATGCATACATTATTGATAGCATGGTTGAGAGTTGTGATGTTATTCTTTTTTTTTAGGCAAATATTTATTTCCTTTGCCACATTTTTGGGGATGTTCTGATAAACTCAAAACTCAGCTGTTAAAAAGTTTAATAACTTGGCTCCTTAACCTGGGCACCTTGTGTGATAAAAATGCATTTTTTAAGTGAAATCAAAAAGTAAAAAACTAAAAAAATATCTAGAGTAAAAGAAGAGCTTTAGAATAATGTACATTTGTCTGAAACTTTGTATTTCAGATCTGGTGGTTCTGTTGGCATGTTTGCCATAGTAGGCAAAGTGGTGCGTAATGAACGTCTTTTTGGATTATGGAAAGGCATGACTCCTGTAAGTGTTCTTGAGCAGTGTATGTCTACACTGATACTGTACTGTCTAGTTCTTTCATCTTGTTTGACTTATGAATAAGTTAGATTGAAGTGACTGACTATACTATTTATACACAACAGTGTATTGAAACTAACAATGTTACATTTGTAACTTTCAGAGCATCTTCCGTTGTGTGCCAGGTGTTGGCCTGTACTTTTCATCGTTGCATTGGCTGAAGACCAACTTCTGTGAGGGTCAGCCAGGGCCTTTCGACGCCCTTATGCTTGGGGTGGTGGCTCGTACCATCACAGGCGTCACCATGATTCCTATCACAGTCATTAAGACACGATATGAGGTAGGAAAAGCTTATCTCACAACATTAAGACTATGTGCACTCTATCATATAAATGTGTTACAAGTATAGTATAATATAGTATAGTATTGGACACTTAAACAAGTTGTCTGATAAAACTTTAACCTGTAAGTTCTGTCAGTGATTAATATTTATGAGATGTGTATTGAATATTACCTTTTATATTTTTAGAAAACAATTACTTGCCTGAAAATATATATATTTATCTGGGAGTTTATGAATTTGGACAAGGAATCCTATATTTTGTTACATTCCTTATGATGTACTGTATATATATATATATTGTGACAAGTATTTATGAGTGTTTATTTGCTTCTACAGAGTGGAGTGTATAGTTATGGTAGTATGAGAGAAGCTATGTGTTCAATCTACAGGAAAGAGGGCACCAGAGGCCTTACCTGTGGTCTGATTCCCACACTTCTCTGTGATGCTCCCTTTTCTGGGCTCTATCTCATGTTTTATACACAAACAAAGAAGCGAGTACCACAGAGTGAGTTATGGATTTATCGTTGTTAGTTGATTTAAAATACATAAAGTGAAAAATATGAACCAAGATAACTTGGACTGACCTTTACAGAATCAATTTAAGTCACTCCCGTAGTGTGTTAAACAAAGCTTGGTCTTTCAACAGGATATATGGAAGGTAACATGGCTCCTCCAGTTCACTTCACTTGTGGAGTGCTGGCTGGGGTCATGGCATCAGCAGTCACCCAGCCCTTTGATGTTGTCAAGACTAAGATGCAGCTTTACCCACACAAATTCACCTCTTTCTATGAGGCTGTCTGGTATGTGAACAAGAAGTATGGCCCACAGGGGTTCTTCAAAGGGCTGGTCCCTCGCATGTTGCGACGTACTCTTATGGCAGCCATGGCATGGACTGTATATGAACAGGTAAGCTCTACACAGATTTACTTGATCCAGGGGTTATCATGTTAGTAACTCGGGCAACACAAAAACTGGTAAAGGTTAAGGAGAGTATTTTCTCTTTACTTATGAGATCTTCAATGATATGATTGTTTCAAGGCCTAAGGGGGATGCAGTCATTCCAACTGTCTTTGACTTTGCAAATGATAATGGCCTATAAAGAGCTTTATTTACCCAGGTATATTACACTATCATCGTTGTTTTATGGCCACTTTCCACGCTTGCATGGGTTAGCATGTATGTGTATGTACAGTACACTATTTATAATTTGTTAATACAGTACGTACAGTCTAAATGGTTTGGCTTTCAAGCTTTAGAATGTGAAAATAAAATAAAATTAATAATCAGTGTCGTTTTTTTTTATATATAAAATGCAAAGGGTGCTGCAAAAATGTCACAAAGATTTTAGTCTTCGTGGCATAAGGTATTACAGTAGAGCCCCGATTATACAGCACCTACGGGGAATTGAGAGATGGAGATTTTCTGGTTGGTTGAATCTCACTCTTCGGATCCCCTAATAAATCCTACAATGCACCTTGCTACAGGCTGACCTCGCAAATTTGTCTCAGAAAAACTGGCTTCTTTAACACTTATTCCATTCAATGTAAACAACGAGGTTTAGAAATAAAGAAAATATAAAACTATAAAATGGTCATGTGCGGCCTGTAAGAAAGGTGTTGACAGCAACTCAATAAAAGATGGGTACACAAGAGATGCAGTGGAGTAAATGGCAGACTGCACAATGTTGCTGATGTTTTGTAGGTAACTATGTGCCCAGAGCAAAGTTGGGAAAACTCAACATTGGGGATATATCCCTAGACTGTGTTGATTAGTTCTGTTACCTGACAGACATGATCACTGCTGGTGGGGGTGCTGAAGCCTACAAGCATCAGAAGTTTAGGGGAACTTTCCCTCCAAGTGAAAGGAAGAATGTGTGTGTGACTGGTGTGAGAAGCGTGATGTTGTATGCCAGTGAGCATGGGCAGTAAAGAGGATAACATGAGTAGACTTAAAGCAAAGTTAAATGAGGATGGTGAGGTGGATGTGACAGGAGGTCCTGCTCAGAGCAGCTGAGTATGATAGTTCTGCCTGGTGCCAGGTTGAGATGGTTTGGGCATGAGAGAAAGGATGAGCCAGGGCAAGAATGACATGGGAAGAGGTTATTAGAGTTATGAACCTGGCGAGAGACTGCAAGAGACCACATCCAACCAATGGAAAATGTCATAAAATGATGAGTGTTGAGCATTACTGTATATTTCTAGGAAATTAATATTCAATATTTTATTTCAGATCACAAAAAGTTTTGGGATGAAATAAGCTTTGGATTGACCAGCAGCTTATGAAACCCGACATCACGAATGTGTAGAAGTGTATGGAATATTAATGAAGATACTATGAACTGCACGACATATCGAACGCGGCCGTCTGGTATCGCCCCTTTAAATCTCCGACGAGATGTGTTTATTTTATTAATAATTTTAAAGTGACCGGCATTGCTACCATTTGAATACCAAGCCCACTTACCAGCCCACAAAGTTGTATATATATTGAAGAATTTATGACCTGTAATGGGACTGCACCAATAGTATTATTTAATCTAATTTTCTGGGTAGTGTTCAGATGGGTTGCAGTACAATATTGGTCAGTCATTTCATTTTGTGAATGGAAATGTTACAGTACAATCTTGCAGCTTAAGTTACTGATGAGAATTGTAATCAATTTTATTAATATCTTTGTGTTAGGGATCAGAGGCTTCTACTGTGATAATTTATGTTTCCTCTTGGTAGTCTTGTAATGGGTGTATGTTAAGTACCTTCTTTAAAGGCATTTACAGATTCTTGTGAAGTTACAAATAACCCCTTTTACTATTTTGTTGTTTTCAAGATACTCTCCATTTAGGTGATTGTGTAAGGAAATAACATAAAAATTAACTGTCTTTTGAGGGCCTCTGTTAGAAAATAACTGCCATTTGTGACTTCCTTGATAATCAGTGTCAAGTATATTAATTATTATCATTTTCACAAGTTTAACTATTATGAATTGTTGGGGTTATTTCATTAAACACTGAACTATTTCTCATGTGCCTCTCATCCTATTCCTAATTTTTATAAAGTCTGTGATTTTGGATGGCTGGAGAAGCATGAAAATGGTACAGTTACATTTGAATTAACTTGTAAAATGCAGTTTATAATTTGTGGAAATTATTTGGTCAACCTCATTTTAGAGGTTATTTATATAAATACCATACAGTAAAAATAACAGTATATTATAAGAGTTTTATTAGACTTTTGTTCCAAGTACAGTACTGTATTTGGTATTTAAAGGTAAAGCTTTTAAATGCAGCCAACCTGAGTAACTTGCACATGATGTGTGTTTTGGTTTTGGGTTATTTTAGCTTCTATTTGAAGAGAAGCTCAGACCAAGAGCCAGTGCTTCCACTCTGGAGTCAACTGTCATACCACTGGCAGCAAAATCTGAAATACAATGTGTTTTAAGTGACAACTTGACTTTGTTAAATAAAAAGATACCACTGGTTTATACAGCATGTAGAATAATCAACAAATTGACTAGATATAAGTTTAAGTCAAGTTCAACTTTAAACATAACAAACCAAATCCACAATTACTTGTACAACAAATTGATACAAATATAATGATAAAAGAACCAATACTGTTCAGTATTAAAATGGTCACACAATTCAGTGTCCTCATCATATAATACAAGTACTGCACGATGAAAGGACAGGTGGTGAATGAGACGAGAGCTTGTCTTAATTGGTTGACAATACTGATGAGGTAGAAATATTTATACACTGTACAGTATGATATAATTTGAGTGATAATTAAATTAACAGCTAACTTATAAAATAACAGCAAATACTGTACTACAGATGACAAGAAGCACATTAGGGGGAATACTATACAGGAAAGCCTACGGTAACAATGATTCATATTATAGACCCAATTCAATTTACTCCACTATTTTCTTTGTATTTACAACAAAAATATAAAAAATAAAGTAAAATTATATTTTCATATAAATAACTAAATTTCAATATGTATAAAATAAAAAAAAGAATACTCCTTGCGCTCGGAGGCTGCTAGGCTTGTGAGTGGTGATGCCAGCATAAACAGTCACAACTGGCGGGCCCTTTGTTTTCACGCATCTGAGTATGAAAAGGAGAAAAAAATTCGGGATTCTTACATCATTTTTTGCATCCCTATTCAACATGAGAAAGAGAGCAAGTGATGGTAGTGTTGGTTCAAAAGCTAAAAGAAAGTGTATAAGCTTAGCCGAGAAACTAGATGTGTTAAAACGATTTGAAAAAGGTGAGTCTGTGGATATTATATGGAGCAAGCAATGAACATATTTTCTGAAGTGGATCCATTAACAGAACAAAGCATTAAAATTAACAGGGACATGGAAAAACACATGACCTCTGCATAAAGATTTATAATGAGAAAAGAAAGCAGCTGTGCAAGGTTCTTTCAACAGGTTTATTATTCAAAGGCCTAAACCACCAACCTCAGCTACACCATCAAATTCAGCATCATAAGCAGCTTCAGCAACAACTACAGGTTCAGTAACTTTCAGCAACAGCTATGATATCTTTATGGAAAACTTCAGCTGGAGTTGAACCTGATGACTTCGTCATCTGAATAAAAACTCGCACAACTTTAATTTGGCTGTCCTTATGTTTTAGACTTTACCACCATTGTTGAGTAGAATTTTTGTTTTACATTATTAAGTATTATTTAAAACATATATTAACAGTCATAACTGTTGCTTTCATACTCTTGTGTATAGAAATGACAATGTTTTCACATGTACACAATTACATAATACGGCTTTCCCATTCTATTTCATTTTGTCTTTACCATTAATGATTAGCTGCTTCTATTGTTCCATTTATTAACATTAAATAACATTACTTAAAACATACATATTATTTTTTTTTACATTAATTTTACTACAGCAACCACCAGGGTCTTGTCTCCTCGTGTGTGTTTTAATATTCTATGTATTATTAATGAATTGCATTGTTCATTTCACATATGTAAACATTAATTCAATCAAATACATATTCAGTAATAAACAACAATGAATCTTTTGTACATATTCTTAATAAGATAAATGACATGGTTTCCTTGAGGGCATAAGTATACATTGCCGTTCCACTATCACTTTTTTTCTATAACATCAGCGGTTACTTTTACTGTACATTAAATACCATTAATTAAAACTTAAATATTTTTTTACATTAATTTTACTACAGCAACAACCAGGATCTTATTTTCTTCAGTTTCAGACGGATAACTGATATTATGGGTGTAAACACTGACAACAATAGCGTCCCATCTCCTCTTGTGTGATATTATTATTGATTTATATTGTGCACTATTTAAAGAATATAGTTTGTATTTTTCATTAATTGTATTATTTTGGGAGAAAAGAGGGTAAAAAGCCACACAAAAGTTATAAAAAGATCACACTAGGGAATTCATCACATTATTATTGCTTGATTTTAATGGCAATTAATTATTCACTTTACACTGCAATACGGGAGGACACATGACCGTCCTTAATCGGTGGCTTTACTGTACTTAAAAAACCTAGCTTCATGTCGTGACACCTTAAATTTGATTCAATAACCTGTTAATGAGAATGAATACAGTAGTACCTACACTAAAAAAAAATTTACAAATGGTATTGTATATAAAGTTATTTATAATACTCTACTGATCAATTTACTCTGAAATAGCAGGAATTCATGGAGTTGACTGGTTATAAAGGATATTTTCATTGAGTATTTTTAACACACATGAATGAAGATTTGACTGTAAGGGCCGGGATGTATCGCACTATGGTTACGTGACGAGGCACCAAGATATTTGAAACAGGTGTTTGGTACATTTCCCTCTTCCCTCCCTCCTCCCTCTTTATTTGGTAATATTCATTCATTCTTACTGTAATAACATGTTCTGCTATGGTAGAGTGTATTTAAAGGACTTGAAATAACAATGTTAAGTAAACAGCAATGTTTTTAAAGCATTGCTTAATGCTATAATATACAGTACTGTCCGTTCTGCTATAACGCGATAGTTCTGTTCTTGTAAAACATCGTGTTATAGAAATTCGCGCAATAGAAATAACAGGGCTTATGGAGAAAATAGGGTTAGGTGCAGATTACTCGAAATCGAAAAAAATTTAGTAGTTAACCTAACACAAAGCATAGCACAGTCTAAATAAATGTTACATTCATATCTAATAATGAAATCATACAGTAAATGTAACACTTTACCTTGAAAAAATATGAATATAACTTGATGGGGGAGAAGGGTGATTTTGAGGTTGATAACATCGAGCTTCTCTTCAAGTGTTATAGCCTTTCTTTAACGATCATCACCAGAACGCTTCTTGGAGATATTCTTCTTTACCATATTCACAGTTAATACCACAAAATTGGAGAAATAGTAAGCAAAAGTCGCGTTACAGCAAACAAGTGTTCGGGTTTTACAAATATCGTTCTTCTATTCATAAATCGCATTAGAGCCAATTCGCGTTGTCAAAACACGCGTTATAGCAGAACTCACTGACTGTAGTGATAAGAGTCGGTGATTTATTTCTCAAGAGTCCAAGTTCTTTATTAAGGGAGAAAATTTGTACTAGTGCTCAACACAGAGAAATGTTTAAGACACCATAAAGAAAGAATTATTGAACATTCACTGTGCACTGTCCCTAGAGCCTACAATACCACTTGATCAACACATGAAACAGGAAAACCTTTCTTTTTAGCTGTAAGGAAGTCTCCACTGGGTTTGGCTACTTCAGGGAGATTGGTAATCAACTGAGTAATTGAGGTGCTGTGTACGAAAAAGTGGACCACAAAACATTCACACCCAAGTCAAGGTTAAAAAAGAAGTCATAATTGAGCCAACAATCAGAAATGAGAGAAGACTGATCAGATATTTTGGCTCATGAAACGTATAACTTAAAACATTATCAAATACTGCACAGTCTGATTTAAATTATCTTAATAGAATGCCAATTTAATTCGATTAGAAAAAGTAATGGGAGTTCATTCTGGAAGCAAATGAACAAGCATAATTACTCTGTTCATGAGAAGGGAACTTTTTCAATAGATTTGGTGAGCCAATTCACAAGGTGTTACAGTAATTGTTATTGGAATCCAGTTTTATTTATGCTTTTATATGAATACAGTACAGGCATCAATAAACTTCGTTTCTCCAAAAACCTCTCGATACTGTAAAAATTATAAATGTGAAATTGCAATTTTTGCCAGCAAGTTACGGTACTATGTTTTCTTAAACTTTTGTAAAAATTATCAGTCAAGTTTGTGACCAATTTGAGGAAATGGAGTCATGTACTGTACAGCGCATCCAGAATATAAAAATCTTCAGCATTGTTCCTCAGGCAACTTAACATTTCTCAATGTGTCCAGATCTTTGTCAGAAAAGAGATGACATTTTCCCTTTGTATCCTTAATGTGTTTCTCTTGCATATAAGTGAAACTCAACATTATGTGCCTTCAATAAAGACCAAGGCCATAAGTGTAAATAATGAGCCATACTGTACTGTACTAGGTCAACTAATAATACCATGGTACTCTAAGCTGTCACAGGCAGGTTTAGATACCAATGCTTTAACCATTGTGTCTTGGATATAATGTGATAGTTAAGACGGCCTCTTTGTAGCTCAGTTTCTTGTCGAGTCGAGCCTTGGCTATCCTGCATTCCTCCTTCCATTGGGGCTGGTCCGATCGGCGGAGGAATGTGGACCGCCACAGGCAGCGCATTTTTTTACTGTGTTGGGGCAGACAGTGTAGTGGTGTCCGTGACTGCCGCACAGGGAGCAGGTGTCCTCCTGCGCCTCACACTTGTTGCAGCCAGCTACGCCGAGAGACTAGGTCTATGCAATGGAAGTTAGGTCTATGCAATGGAAGTAGGGGTACGATCGCCGACCGAGTCTCGACCTTCAACTTCCAGCTCAGGATCAGAGAGTTTCACACCTTACGCTTCCTCTCCCGTGATTGGCTCTCGCGCTACGAGCGCCTCAAATCCTGAGGTTTCTAAATCACATAAATCACAACATCTACAAGAACCTAAGGGGCTCACTGGAGGTGACTCATTTATTCGCTTCAGCCGCTGATCACGCCACACTCATAGAAGGGGATTTCAACGCACATCATCCCTTCCTAAGCTCGGTAAGCCCCACAAATGAAGACGGCCTACACCTATACACCACC